TCTCCCTTCTGGGACTACACTTCACTTGACCACACTGAGATTGCTAGAAGAATGAGGCTGAAACACGTGAACTCTTTCCAGACACTTCACTTGGCGCTCCTTACACAGTCGCCATCTTAGAGCCCTCCCAAAAGAGAATAAGCGCGCTTGCAGCGCCAGGCCCAAAGGGCTCCTGTATTTCCGCTTTTGGTCTGTGCTTTCTCATGCCACACAAGGACTGGGGTCCTTAAAGAGGGTTTTCTCTGGCCTGATTGACCTTCAACCCTGGAACTGAGCTATATGTGATGTGAGCCTACTTAGGCCTAGGGACTGGACGTCCCTCGAAATAACTTCAAATTGGAATCTCCAAACGTGCCACCCCTCATCTGTCTGTTTTCACCTCGGACTGGTCACTCGCCTGTTCTTTCCCGCAACTCAACCTTCAGCCTCCAGCTCTGCCTCCAACGTTATCCCTCCAATTGTAAGAAGAGAACCCGAATCACTCACAGATTTTAGAAGGGGCCAGGCCTACGCCGGTAACCCTGTAAAACTTCCCACCCCTTCGCATTTCTTGCTCTTAACTATTGTAGGCCTAAGTCTGTTCATCGTTTGAAAGAGTGAAAATATAAACTTCCCTCTGTATTAGTCTGTTTTCCACTCACTGAAAATATTGAACCTACGAATAACTCGGGACCTTGTGTGGGAACGACATAACGTTAGACCCCCACTAGGCACCACACCAGCATGACTGACCTGCCGATTCCCCGAGAAATTGGAGTCGGAGTCGAGCCAGTGGCCCTATTCCCCACGCCCAATTGGCCAATGGCCCAATCCCTCACGCCCAATTGGCCAGTGGCCATATCCCCCACGCCCAATTGGCCGTTGTCGTCGGATCCCCAGGCGTACAGGTCGCCTTCGTCAGTCAGAGCCAAGACGTGTGCATGGCCGCAGGCGACCTGGAAAACGGATCTGGTGAGTCTCGTTACGAAATCTTCGTAAGGACATAAAGGAGAAAATCATACGAAGAAACACGCACTTGGGAAACGAAGATGCCGCCGCGATCGATCCCCACCTTACAGGGGAAAGGCTGATCGATGTTGTGGTTCAGACCGAGCTGCCCGTTCGCATTTGCTCCCCAGGTATGTACCTAGGGGACGTGGCGGTGAAAAAAGAAAAACATGAAGAATCCGTGTTTCTCCTCTATTTACGGGAGCAGTTTACTGCCAAATAATGCGGTTTTAACTAGACGAAATCCTAATCCTAACAGTTAGACGAAATTTAAGGGGAAAAAAAATCTGCCAAGGGAAGACTCAGGAATTATTGTTTTTTATGATAATAATGCTAGTATACATAAATGATAAAATAAGCCTGAAACTGAATTGGACCCGAGTGAACGCTGGAAATACTATCATGTAACCTCGAAATAATTGGCAGGAAATATGGTACGAGGGTTCTCCTCACACGCGATGCACGGAATTCCTTCCCTTCCTCTTTAGGAATGTTCATCGCCTTACTTAGACGAAACGAATTTTTGAATTAAATTGTATCTTGGCAACGTGATACAGCCTATGGAAGATACATAAGGCCTTGTGTTCATTTGGCGGAGGTGTATGGATTATAAATTCGGGGTCGGAGGTCCTCTTTGGTGCTAGACCATAACTTGTCACGAGGATTCACGAAAGAGCAAAGTTACAGAAACGAAAATGAAGATCGCGAGCGACAAAAAATGCGCTCACAAAATCCAGCGTCTCTTCTCACCTCGCCGGTATTTAGGAGAACGACGGAAAATTGGTGCCCGCAGGCAACAGCCACTGCCTTGCTCCCGAATGGCACCGGCATCGGAGTCGCCGTCGCCCCCTGACCCCCGACGTTCTGCCCCCATGTGAAAATCTGTCGAAGGAAAACCTGGCAACCTGGCAACCCGGCAACCTTCAAAGAGAAGGTTGCCAGGAGACCCCGACCTCTCCATCGCCGGTGAGACAGAGCGAGTGAAACGCGCCGCATGCGATCTCCTTCACGATCCTCCCGGTCAGGTTCCCTTCCACCCGCTTGGGGTCCAGGCATGGACTCGCGGATTTTATCCCCAGCTGACCGCGGGTGTTGTCACCCCAGGAATACAGCTCTCCTCCGCTCGTGCACGCGAGAACGTGATCGAGCCCAGCTGCTATATCTGATGACCACCGTGACCGTTTGCCAAATTTATACACTAGTAAGATTTTAACAAGAGCATATGCAAGAGCAGAAATTTGCTCAAGGTTCCAGCCTAGAGAGAAACTAGTATTGACAAAACTCACTTTTGATTACTTTTCTCGAGAGGGTTTCTATCTTACGCGGCTCCAAAGTCGGGGCAGCAGTCCCAATCCCGAGGCAACCGGAGCGATTCGTCCCCAACCCGTAGACGCCTCCGTCCCTCTTCACCGCGATGACCTCCTTCCCCGCGACGCCTATCACGAGACGCGTGAGGCCAAAAGGCGGGAACCCGGACGCGCGAACCCCGTCATCGCCACCCACCGAAGACGTAGACCGTGCGGAGAGACTCGAGGAAGCCCGCGTCGAGGAGGCTCAGGACCCGCCACTTGCTCAGGTCCGTCTCCCCGCGATGGAACGGGATGGGGTTCGTGGGAGGCAGGTCTGGCAGCTGGCACGGTCCGTCCATCGCTGCCGACGTTTGCCGCGGGGATTTTTCCGCTCCTTTTCACACTGGATATGCAACAAAAAAGTTTATATTTTAAATTTTTTGCATCCAAATTCCCTGGCCTAGGATAGTCTGAGGTTGCATCGAATTCGTTCGAAGTTCTTGCCCCGTGACGATTTTTAACAGAGATTGAGGGGTTCTTGCTAATCGAGCCTCATGCTTTGAAATTGAGAAAAAATGTACATATCGTTCGAAAAGTCTGGAACAAGTGAAGAATTAATAACCGTATTCAATAGGAGCTTTGACAAATTTGCAGTTATCACCCGGTCCAGGAATTAAAATTGGTCATCCCGTTTGCTTCTTCGCGGGGTTTGAAGCCACAGACGCCAAAAAAAAATAACAAACAAAAAAGGTCATTAATTTTTAGCGCTCGTGTGACGCCCCAGCCAAGAAAGATGCAAGCCGAAATCAATCAATCGATCCGTACTTTTAGCCGAAAGGCTAAAAACGAAGTCATTTCCGGTAAAAAGCCAAAATCGAATACTTCAAGAACAGGTTTTGCATGCGTTTTGGTTGAGCCTTTTGCTGGGGCGAGCGGCACCGAGCTCCTCGAGGCGAGACGGGGCAATACTGGGACGGTCTCGTCTCGATTCCCGATACTTCTTTGTTCCTAGCATGAAATTTCGCACACGTGGCCCGTACCGTGCGATTCGGAACATCTTGAGGAGATGAGAGAGGTGAAACTTGAAGTGCGGGTAGATTTCAGGACTCTGGTTTCAGGAAAAATTCGACTTTGAAGGTACTTACGCTGGGGGCATACTTTTTTTTGGGTGGGGGGAAATTTCCAAAGAGATTTCTTGCTTCAATGAAACTGAGAGAGAAAGCTGAAACATGGTGTAAAGGTACAGGTTCAGAGACTTATACCAGAAAAAATCCTAATTTTAAGATACATCCCCTGGGGTCGTTTTTTTTTTGGGGGGAGGGGGGGGGGGAGGTAACGTTTGGCCGGATTAGGGTTAAGATAAGCCTACTTAGTGGGAGCATAGCCACTATCCTACAAGTGAAGTTCCTTCGCAACCTGCGCCTCACCTGGGGTTCCAACAATTCAAGTTGGTTCCCTCTCGTTCTGCTACAGCCATCGAACTGGACAAACCTACCATGCTCTACGTTATGGATTCCCATAATGATGTTAAATGCCTGGATGAGGTTCCCTCTCGCTAGCCTCTCGAGCGAGTAGAATCCCAAGACCGCAAAACGCTTCTTATGTGGTTGTCCCCTCACCTCCTTGATATTTCTCTTGGCCTGCTCCTGGACCCTTTCGAGCGCCGCAACTTCACCATTATTTGTAGTATTTGTATCGTAAACTTAACACGTCACTTCAAATGGGATCCTACTAGCGCCGCATAAAACTGGAGAATGACGCTCTAGCGATTGCTGGCAAAAGGAACGCCGGAGGAAGCCTAGCGATTAGCATCGTCTTCGTTTCCCGAGAGGGAATGAGGCCCTTATGGGAATCCGAGGGAATCGTCTACCGCGTCTCGAGTACGAATGCCTCTAACGGGGACGTTTGCCTCCGTTTTCTCGAGGGGGTTGGAACTCGTGCTCGAAGCATCCCTGCCACTTGGTCGTGGATCCAGTCGCCTTTCGGGAAGGAGCGTGCGTCGAGCTCGCCGTGAAAACAGCTGGTCATTCCCTGCTCTTTGCATCTCCTCATTCCCCTTCCCTCGATGCAATATGTAGGGAATCCTCTGTTTCATTCTTTCCTTGTAGTTCCTCTCATGACTCTGTAATCTTTCCTAACGGATATCAAGCCCGATACACTGCATTTATATCCTACTGATCCCTATTTTCCGTTGAAGTTCCTTTTCCGTTTCCCCGCTGCCTGCCCTTCTATTTTCATCAGGTACTTGTGGGGAAGAGTTTCCCACATGATGGGCGTGGAACTGCTCGAAGCAGTCAATCTAGGGACGAAAGAAGCTCTGCAATGCTGCCTCGAGGTCATTTTTCGACGTCAGGGACAGACACTTGACGACCCGCACGAGGCTGACAACTCGATAATTATGGACTCAGGAAAACCACGACTCGGTGCTAACTTAAAGTCTGTGTATTCGACGAGGGTCGTCGATATCTTTGATTTCCAATTTTTTTTCCCGAATTTAGCAGAATTTTGGCTGACATCGTAGTTAGCCTTCTCAGGATCCGACATTATCCTACGAAAACTTGATTTCCCTTGAAATTTCCCCGGAGCGATTTTTCTTTCCCTTTTCTCCAGAAAGTTTTCTCTAACAAGCCATCTGTAATTCCAACCCATCATTTTCCTCGAAAAAGTCGAAGACGATCCATAATTGTTACATTCTTGGCTCGCCTTGACCTCGACGTTCTCTAAACCACACAGCAAAGCAAAAACGTACAACGAGGTACAAACGTACGTTGAACGTTCGTTGAAAAGGTGCCGAAGCGAAATAGGGAGGAAATGAAACCTTTCTTATCTCTATTCAGAAGGTGCGGATGGGATCTTTTCTTTAGGATTCCCTGTGTGCCTCATTCCGGGCTTAAGGGCGCATGAATGAACCTGGTCATGAACCTCAATTTTAAGCTCCGAGGAGCTTTCATCGCATCATCCGTCTCAACTTCTCCGACAGTCGGCGAACTGTCACTGATAAGACACACCTCAACAATATCTGTTTCATAAACAGTGCCTTATCCAGTGACCATGGAGACGGGGCGTCTCAAGTCAACACTGATGTTTAAGGACAATCGTTCGCGTTTATTGAGAATTTATCTCATTCTCCCGAGAGTAAAAACACCTAACCTGTTAGTTCACACTTCGCTGTCTTCGTGCAAAACTCCAGCATTTTAAAGTTTCCAGAGTCATTGATTGCCATTGAAGCAAGACAATTATACTTTTATCAAATACTACTTTACAAGTATCATGATGAGATGAATTGAGGGAAAGGAAGAAAATTCTTCTCCTGAGGTCCGGTGCGTCCTGACCCGAGTTGGAATGCTCGGGGGAACATAAACGCCATCTTATGTCTACTTTGAGTACTGTATCGGAAACCCGGACATCCGCGTCTGCAACGTATCCATGTGTAAACCTGGACCACACCCGCACAAAGGTACACATAGAGGTACTCATGCGGACCCGAAGGACACAAATATGCACGTCTCTCATCTTTACCTCTCCTTTGCTGCGTTCTGAAGTTACACAGCTCTATTTCCGTTGGATGTCGCCCAGGCGCCGCGATGGAAGTTCGTTACGGAAAGTCTCCGAACCGTGCCGTTTCTCACGACCAGCGGCAACAGCGCAGGCGACCGATTCGCTTCTGCAAGAATCCAGACCTAGTTTTCCTCGACTGAGCCGCACGGAGCACCGATGCGATGAAACGGCTTTTCGAAACCGTGCTGGGTCACTCACCGGCGGAACGCACACTGCCGATGCCATGTAATGCATTATCAGAGCTCGCCGGTATCTCCACCTCTCTCTCTCTCCCCACATCCCCCGACCTCGTCGGTGACGCCTCGTCCTCGTTTGCGTGCGGCAGGCTGAGGACACTCGGAGTGGAGGAATCTGCTTTCCCGTTCCAAGGGGAAAGGAGGATGGATGGGGAGGGGAGGGAGGAGAGCCGCCGGGTTCTCGTTTTCCTTCGAGAATTGAACTTGGGTTGTGTGCATTCGGGCGTTCGCTTGCGTCGGCCATGTTGTTGGCCTGAGAGTGCGGAGACCCAGGAGCATAGGGGACCGATGGACCCATAGGGACCCACGAAGATCTCAAAATTATTGTTCATTGCTTATTGGTCATTGGACACTCGTCGATGGACCAATTCTACATTCCAAAAGGGAACTTTTTATTGGTACTCTGGGTGCTATGTGAGCGAAAGTTTATCACAGTTTTCCGTTGTTGTATATGTTTTTTTTTTAGCCATAGGCACTAGTCTGTGACTGAACTTGAAGGCTCTCATTGTGCCTTCATAACACGTGCAACGTTTTTCGAACTTACCATGCATAGTTTGACCGCAAGAGGTCGCGATGGCTCATGGCTCATGGCTTATGGCTCATGGCTCATGTGGATGATGTCCATGTCGCAGAGGAGCTTTCACGACCAACCGAAACGGCTCTGAAGGGAATAGCAAAGAAAATTCTAATCTCGCTTCCCCGTGTGATTTAGTCCTTGGGGGAATACAGGAGATGAAGTTGATCTGCCAGGAGAAGTTTTTAGCGCCGACGAGGGGACTGCATTTGCACGAACGAGATTTGGAAACGACCGTGCCAGCTGGACCAGAAGATGGTCGAAAACTCTACCCTTCGATTTCGTTTCGATCGACTCCAAGTCTTGGATTCCAACACTTTTAGGGGTCGATTCTTCGCTTTCTCGACATCGTTATCGTCTTGCATCGCGAATGAGGAAGAGCCAGAATCGACACAGGAGAGACACTCTCCATCGATGAAACGCCAAGGCTTAGCTATTTTTTCCGAGGGGGAAAAGGGGGAAGTGGGGGGGGGGGGGGGGAAAACTTGCCCCTTGAGG